CGAAATCGCCAACCGCCAGACAGCGGGCTCATGTGTGAATTGCTTTGGTCCGACCCCATGGATGGCAAAGGCAGGGCTCCGTCCAAGCGAGGTGTCGGATGCCAGTTCGGTCCGGATATCACGGAGGACTTCTGCAAACGCAACGGCCTCGACATGATTATCCGAAGCCATGAAGTAAGAGTCAACTTGTGATGCTTGTTTACTGATGCATTCTCATGTTGCTTGTTGCAAAAATAGGATGCATGTCAGCTATTGATACAATTATAGGAATAGATCGGTGCACAAACAAATAATTATAGGAATATAATACTAGAATATACTATCTGCTGGTCTTAGTAAGTATGATTACCAGAACTAGGACTCTCAGCAGTGTCCTAGCCCAAACTTAGTAAAATGTGACACAGCTTTTGGTGGACAGAAATGAGGGGATGGAAACCAAGGCAAGCCCTGATGTGCTCCAGACATCAAACATGTATTTACTCGAAATAGCTTAAATCCAGATTCACCCTCCTTGTTGAGATCGAGGGAATATGAACCCCAGCTTTGACTTTAATCAACGTCAACTCTGACAAATACTTATATCAGAAATAGTGCCCGTATTACTAACACTCAGCTACACTCCTAATGAGTTGTAATAAAAATAGCAGTAGCAGCACCAGCCTCGGTTTCCTTGAGTCTTTCTTGACACCTACTGATGTGCTCCGAGCCTCAAACATCTACTTTACTCGGAATAGCATAAATCCAGGTCCCATCTCGTAGTTGAGATCGAGGGCACACGAACCTAGCGCTCAATAACCAGTGTCATTTCTGACCAATTACAGTAGACGCCAAAGATCATGCAACATTTCGACATATGCAAAAGACTAATACCCCTTCGTTAATCGGCATTGACTCCAGTTGTGATAGTGATTATCGTGTAGTCTCTTCTGAAGTCATTTCAGTCATAATAGGATGCGGACTTTCTAACGAGCTTTGTTCTGACCACTAGCAAAACGTATCTATTGTAAAAACTGGC